TGCCGGATGGGCGAGGTGCTCTTGAAGGGTGTGGGACACCTTGAGGTTGTGGAGCTACCTAAAGGAGTCATTTCAGTGCCAAAATCTCTGTGTTTCACCTCCTGATATGGGATCACTTCTGTACATGCATCTGTCATAGCCTTATTATTGTCAAGTTTGTGACTTTTGAACAAAAATGCCTCTTGTGTAGGCTCTGAGTACTTGAAATTGGTGATATAAGGACTCATTTCATCTGTAAATTTGTCTGCATTTTTTTTTACAACAGTTTTGTTGTCAAAACTATCAACAAATAAATTGAAAAACCAACAGCAAAATCAATGTATCAGAAATGGGGATTAAAATATTTACAAAATCATAATTTTATTGCAGATTAATGTTGAACTTACAAGAAAAATCCTTCCTTTTTTACAAATTTGAATTATGAACAATAAAAATTGGGACTAATAACTTCATCTCATGTAAATTAATCTGCATGTTCAATTTCATGACAACATTTGATCCAAATTTGTTTCTTAGGAAGAAAACAAGAACAAATAACAAGATCAATATTAAGACAAACAAATTTAGTAACATAATCCATCAGAAATTGAGCAGAATCATCAAATTCTACAAAAATTTCTTTTAATCAGCAAGAAAAGTTCCCTGAATTCTGAAAAATGGGTGTTTCAGTTATGAAGCAACTATAATGGAACCCAAAAAGTGATTTAATAAAAAGGGAGGGAAATAATAATAGTTTAAAAGTAGCCAAAAAGCTCAAACTAAAGAAAAATGGCATACCTTTTAGAGGCAAATCAGCAGGAATTATGACCCCATTGAAAGTGATAGCTGAACTCAATTGCTGTTGTTGTTGTTGTTGTTGCTTCTGATAATAATGGTGGTCCTCCATCGAAGTAGCAGCAGCAGAAGCAGAACAATTAATAAACTTTGGCACTGTCTCTTTTGTAATCTTTTCTTCCTCAATTACCCTGAATTTTTCTGCAATTATTTCATTTAATATTGCCTTTGAATTTGAACCCACCTCATTTTGCTTCATAATCATGTTATTACTATGATTGCTATGAAGATTATGATTCTGATTATTATGAGTATTGAAAGCATGATGAGCAGGGGATTCATGGCAAGAACCACCTCCGCTACCGCCATTGAAAAGCCATTTTTCAGCATCATCCCACTTAGAAGGAACACTTTTTCTTGCAATACTGAAACTAAAAATAGGTCTTCCTGGTGTTGAAGGTGCCTCCATCTTTCTTGGCATTGAATTCCCAATAATGTAATCTCTTCTTCTTTGAGCTGATTGAGTTCCATTGCTAGTATTCATTGGTAATGACTTTACAAAATCTGATGTTTCTTTCAGATTAAGCTTGCAAATTGGGTCTACTGCATTATTATTACTGTTTAATAATGCTTCTGCAAATGGGTTTGTCTTTGTTTTTCCTTCTGATTCCTGCATTGAAAAAAAAATTGAACTTTTTCAGACTAACTTGAGTAAAATCATGAGTGAAAAACAAATGATTTTGAAAGTAATAGTAAACAATGAGGTAAAATCAGAAAAGAACAAACATTTGAGTTTAAGTTGGTTTTTCTTACCATTTGGGATGGTGCAAATATAGGTGTGGGCTTATAGTATTTTGGGGTTGTGAGATCCATTTTTTTTGTTATGATTCTTTGGAGATGAAAATGGTAGTAACAATGAATAATACTCTATACTTGTATTATACTCCCTATGGAGTATTTAAGAAGAAGTGTCTTACGGGGTCGATTAAAACCTCACACGGGACAACCCGGCCCAGCTTAGCGAACTAGGTCCTTGTTGTGGGACTAGGGAGGTATTTGACCACCCAAAGAAATACTGATGAAGTGATGAGAGTAGTTCAGTGATGCAGTAGAATGATGTGTTTCTTCTTATAAAATGGGCTTTTATCTTTCCTATAGTAGTAATAATTGGACCACCTCTTTCTTTCTGGCTTCTCTTGCCCAAAACAATGTAACAGTGAAATATTAGTCCTTTGGTTTGTGCATGACAGTCAATAGAGAGAGAAAGGGAAGGAAGATTAGGAGATATAGATAAAAATAGTTTAGGTAAATGTTAATCATATCATAAATGTGTGTTTTATGAAAAGAATAGGGTACTTTGGAAAGAGGGAAAAGTAACCCATGAGTAATGACAAAGGATGAAGAAAAGAGTGTACTTCTTGAAATTGTACTTATTAAATGATTTTATATTGTATTAATGATTTGTTTACTCTTTTGAGGGAACATTGTTTATACTTGTATTATGGTATTAATTTTGAATGATGATTGATTGTACTAATGCAATTGCAATCTCTAATTTTGCTTCTACTATGGAGTACCTTATCATACATAGGTGAAAGATGCTCAGAGTTTTGCAAGAAAGTGGACTCTCCATTTTCCCATCTGCCCAAAATGTTCTTTTATGCTTCTAAACTACTCCATAATCCATATGTCCTCGAAAATACACTTCCGAAAATACAGTATTAACTCTCGGGATTTATAATTACCTTCGATCTATACCATCTTAACCTCTTACGGAGTAGGATGTAATGTTATGTAGGAAATCTAGTACTTCATGTTAAGCAATTATACAACGAGTCAAATATAGCACTACAACATAGCAAAATTCACCTTCATTCTATGGTTAAAATTTAATCACACAAATGACAAATAAAACTTCGTCACAAGGGCAGGCCGAAACTATACAAGATCTCCTTGTCATGAGTAAGGTTGGACCATGCCATAAATCCTACGTCTTTGTTGTAGCCTTCTCCTATTAGCATGGCCTATATCCTCTTTCCCTACTCTAGCACATTGTCATATCACTCATATCCTCCCATTTCCTTTTGTTTGACCCATTAGATTGCAATTACTTCGTACATTTCTAAGTTTTATTTGAGAGGAGTAGATGAGAAACAAAAAATGGTGAGACTAAATTTACGGAATATATGTGAGTGATTATTCTTATTATGAATCAAACTTAAATGAACAAATTGTAAGACAAACATTAAGGGATAAAACGATTACACAAGTTAAACACATTACCTAGCCTTGACAAATATTCCCACTCAATCCTACAATGATATAGATTCAAGATATCTACCAAATAATATATCCTACATCAAAATAAACTATGTGAGACAATCTTATTCGAAGTATCATATTTCCCCACCACGGGTGCGATTAATTATACAAGTATTACTAGTATATTGCATAAAATATGAAATGATGAGCAGCATATGGGCACATATGACTATATGAGTGACATTCACTAATCAATTCATTCATTTGCATAGTCTAGGGAATTTGTAATGCAAAATACAAAATACAGTGGTAGAGAGGCGTAGGTGACATGTTCAACAAATACGTGTACTGTTAGCAGTATATAGATTCGTCATTCGTGTACGAAGTTTTTATGGCTTACCACTTACCAGTGATATGTTCTCTTGGGCATTTTGACAAACACCTTTAGAGCATGATGTTTTGGTGAATTATGTGGAATTTAAAAGATTGGGAAGCAGTGATCTGGTGAATCTGGATGGAATTTGATTTGCAATTTTTAATGGCTTCAATGTTTACTCTCTGCTTAAGGTGGTTGATGATTTCATTGCAAATGCTGAAATTTTCAATTCACACTTACGCACCTACTAATCTCGGGTCTCGAATGATTCTTTTTGGCATTTTTGGGATTTTGCCTTATTGATTCTCAATGAAATTTCTAATAAAATTATTTAGATTATGATATTTTGGGAATTTAAAATGTTTACAAAGGTAACACATCAAGGATTGAACTTAATTGAAATAAATTACTTTCTCGGTCTTCATTTATTTGCTTTATTTATAAATAAAATGTAATTTATTAAGGCTTAAACCAAATTTTTACAAGAGGACATGTAATTTCTAAATATATAAAGATATAAGGTATGAAGCACTTATAGTCTTAAAAAACAAAGGTATGAAGTACTTATAAGGGATGATCCAAAATAGAATATAAGACAAATAAATGGATGCGATTAAAATTGTAAGAGTTGATAAATTATAAAAGTCATACAGCAGTGTAATACGACTCAGCTTTAGAAAGAGGACAGAAATAATTTAGTGTAAAGAGAGTCACAAGGTCAATAATCTCAATATTTGTCAAATACAAGTCTGAGACTCTAAGTCATACCTTAAGTCCTTAGTCTTAAGTGTTCAACTCTCTCTTATCTTTCAATGTAGGACACTTCATGTATTATTTGGAAAGCTTACACTCCAACACTATTAGACCGAACTCAATCTCGAATTTTAGATACAATCTTTCAAAATTTTAACCAACTAAACTAGTTACTATTCACGAGAACAATATTTTAATGTATTGCCTTAAAGTTAAGTGGTGTACATAGTCAAAAATAACTTAATCATGGGCTTTTTAACTTCTGTTAAAAAAAACTTAATCATAGACTTTTTAACTTGTGTTAAAAAACAACTTAATTATGGGCTTTTTAACTTGTGTTAAAAAAACTTAATCATAGGCTTTTTAACTTGTGTTAAAAAAACAACTTAATCATGGGCTTTTTATATGGAAAATCGATACAAATCATGCAAGCTCGTTTCAAGCATGGCCCACTGACACGGCATGTGGACTTGCACGACCCAGTTTGTGCCTAGCTCTTACGACATTAGGGTGTCTTTATCGTAAGTCTGAAGCGGAGTTTCAAGAAGAGTCTTATGCAAGACTTTGGCAATAATGTCATAAAAGACTATCATGAGTCTTGCATGCGGTTTGGGAGATGAAAACCCATTTTAAGACTATGCATGTGGGGGCAATAAGCTGAAAAACTTTGCATGGCCAATAATATATTGTTAACTCAACACAAGTTGTTGAATAATTAATGTTAGTATTTAGGAGGGTAAGTGAGCCTAGAGTGAGTCTTGGGATAACGTGTGAAAATAAAAAGAGTCTTGTGTAAGTCTGAATAATATAAAAACTAATTAAAAGTTAGTGAAAAGCTGATGTGACACATCATGAAGTTGAGTCTGAGTACGGGGATAAACTCAAACCTTGTGAATTTCATTTTTTCTGTACTGTAGATGCTTTACTGTTAATGAAGAGAAGAACTTGTTGAAAATGGGCGCCAAATAATTGAAGAAGCTCTATCCCCATTATCAACTCTCAACAATCTGACAAAGTAAGAGAGAAAAGGGAGAAAAAAGAGAAAGAATTTTCTGGGTGTTTTAAGTGTTTTGATGCATAATCATGGACTATGACCTGCGCTATTATATACAGCAATTACAGTCCTACAATGGCCGCCATAACTCCATTAATCAAGTTAAGCAGATTCATCTCCTTTTCCTCAAAAGGGGTATCCTTAATTCCGTTTTAAGCATCGGAAATCGTCTTATTCAGGTTTATGCAAAATGTGGTATTATGAGTGATGCAGCTAAGGTGTTCGATGAAATGCCCCAGAGAAACTGCTTCTCATGGAACACCCTTATTGAGGGATTTATGAAGTCAGGGGAGGTAAGTAAATCATTAGAGGTTTTCAATTCTATGCCTTTTAGGGATGATTTTTCATGGAATGTTGTTATTTCTGGATGTGTGAAATCGGGCGAATTGGGTTTAGCTAGGATGGTGTTTAATGAGATGCCTAGAAAGAATGGTATTGCTTGGAATTCGATGCTTCATGGGTATGCTCGTCGTGGGTGTCCTACAGAAGCTTTGAGGTTGTTCAAATATATGAACTTTGATGGTGCTGAATCAAGGAAGAGAGATCCTTTTGTTTTGGCATCAATGGTTGGTGCTTGTACTGATATGATGGCTCTTGGTTGTGGGAAGCAAATACATACTAGGATAATTATTGATGGAGTGGAATTCGATACGGTTTTAGGAAGCTCTATTGTTAATTTGTATAGCAAGTGTGGTGCATTAGACAATGCCAAACATGTCTTTAAGTTGACAAAAGAAGCTGATTACTTTTCGCTTTCTGCTTTGATTACAGGATATGCAAGTGTGGGTAAGATGGATGATGCTAGAAGAACTTTTGACAGTATAGCTAATCCTTGTGTCGTGGTTTGGAATTCGTTGATTTCTGGTTATGTTGCTAATGATCAACCTATAGAGGCCTTGGCTTTATTCAACATGATGAGGAATAAGGAATATAAGCCAGACTGCTCTACTTTTGCTAATGTTTTGAATGCTTGCTCGAGTATTGGTGGTTCTCATGAATATGGTAGACAATTACACAATCATGCTTGCAAAGTTGGGGTCTCTACGGATGTTGTTGTTGCTTGTTCCCTTATTGATATGTATTCCAAGTCTGGAAATCCAAGTAATGCTTGTAAATTCTTTGATGAGCTTGAACTTCATGATACTGTCCTTCTTAATTCTATGATCAATGTCTACTCTAACTGTGGAAGATTGCAAGATGCCAAGCAGATCTTTGACAGTATGCATGATAAATCCTTGATCTCTTGGAATTCAATGTTAGCAGCTTTTAGTCAAAATAGTTGTCCCCTTTCAGCTTTAGATCTTTTCTTTAAGATGAATATGCTTGAAGTTCGAATGGACAAATACAGTTTTGCAAGTGTGATCAGCTCCTGCGCTAGCATCAGTTCACTTAGATTTGGTGAGCAGGTTTTTGCAAGAGCTACTGTTGTTGGCTTAGAAGCTGACTTGATTGTCTGTACCTCACTCGTTGATTTTTATTACAAGTGTGGTTTCATTAACTTTGGTCGGAAGTTATTTGATGAAATGGTCAAATTTGATGAAGCTTCTTGGAATTCAATGTTAACAGGGTATGCTACAAATGGTCAAGCAATGGAGGTTTTAGATTTGTTTGCTTCCATGAGACATGCTGTAGTTCAGCCCAATGTTGTTACTTTTACTGTACTTCTATCTGCTTTCAGTCACTGTGGATTGATTGAGGAGGCCAGGAAGTGGTTTTATATGATGAAATCTGAATATAACATAGAACCTGAATATGAGCATTACTCATGCATGGTTGATCTATTGGCTCGAGCTGGTTGTCTTGAAGAGGCAACATCTCTAATTAGGCAAATGCCATTTAAGGCGGATGCTAGTATGCTGTCTTCAATTCTGAGAGGGTGTGTGTTCCATGGTAACAAGAACCTGGGCATAGAGGTTGCAGAGCTAATGATTCATCTTGATCCTGAAAATTCAAGTGCTTATGTGCAACTATCTGGAATATTTGCTACTGCAGGTGACTGGGATGGATCGACAGAAGTTAGAGATGTAATGAGGACTAGATGCACTGAAAAGATTCCCGGTATAAGTTGGTGATGTGCCTGAATAAAGTCATATTTAAGTGTTATCAACTGCCTCTGTTGAACCCTTGATTGAGACACAGCTAAGTTACTGACTAGTTTCACACTAGTTTCACAGGCATCTTAGAGCTTTGGATGAATATCTATGTTTTTCAGGGATCTAGAAATATATGATTGTTAGAATTAATGAACTATGAATTGATGTAATTAAGCAGCAGCAATGGCAGGTATACTGTGTATACCTCACTGAAATTAATTCTTGCCGCTGTCATTCTCTATACATACGATGATACTTGTTTGAGAGTATTTGTATGCAAATAAACATGAAGGTGAACAAATATCACGATTGGCTAGTGGCCATCTTGTTCATCTCATCACTTTTTACTTCTGTGGAGATATATGGATACACTAATGAATTTTATCGATTTGTGTGCATCCAGGTTTCGGCAAGATGAGGTGAACATTGAAGAGAAATGATTTGGCTAGAACAAACACTGTAGCCTTGAGGAAAGCTCCAAGGTGTAACTTCATCTTCAGATGGTGATGGTGATTTCATAATGGCCTGGGCAGGAACCGGCTTTATTTCATATTAAAAGATTCTCTCAGTTTGGGAAATTTAATTCAATTGAGGTTTTTGCCTTCTTTTTCTTCCTCTAACTTTTCATTTTTATGTTGGTTAAATGTTCAGATTTCTTATGTGCCTTGATGAAACATTGAACAGAAATTATATACTGTGTTCTGCTATCATGCTAGTTTAAGCTGTCTAACTTAGTTCTGAGGAATCATTATGGATAGCTAAAGTCACTGGATTTCATTAAAAAAAAAAGTGGATGTAATATGAATATGCAATCTTTCAGAAGGTTCTCTCTCTCTCTCTCTTTTTTTTTTTTTTTTTTTTTTTTTTTTTTTTTTTTTTTTTTGGGCAATGGTTTTTTAGAGGCAGTGTTGTGTATCTGTGACTGGTTGTTGCTTTCTGAGATTGCTATTCTTTGTTGGTTACGTTAATTTTCATAATTTTTTTTTCCCTAGAAGAGTTATCTTTGTCCGTTTTGGAACTTGTAAGAAATATATATGTAGTGCATAGAGTTTATCTACTTTGCAACAATGCAACTTAATATGTTAAAAAGAAAAACAGCAGAAAGTCTTGACACCTTCAGAAATTTTTTAACTTAGATTATTACATGAGTTAGTAATGACGCATTGTGCACGAAGTCTGGTCTCCATAACTTCACCCATCTTTGGAGTTGCGAATAATTAGAGGTTGATGCCCTGAATTTTACCGTGATCTCATAAAAGTGTGCTTGTTGCAGGAAGTTCTTGGTGCTTGGAGACAAGCCTGTATTTTCCCTGAATCTTTCTGGCAATACTTGTTGGTCTGGTGGATTAGTAACAGCAAAGACAGCCAAGGTAACTACTATTGTTATTGTCACTGAACTATAAGAAAAGAAGATTCATGTCTTGATTTTGCAAATGCTCATCTACTGCAATTGCAGTCACAGTATGATGGGGTTTGCCACTCCTCCCTTAACCTGCTTTTATTAATGTACAAATCATCTAGTAGCTCTTTTGGGTCTGGTGACTAGAGGAATTGAGAATGCTGGTCATTTTGTGTTGCACTCCTACACATTTGGTCTAAGATTTTCAGTTTACTGTTACAGACACTTAGAAAGGCTTATCTACTACTTCCTCTTCTTCACCTTAAATATTTCTAGACTCGCTGCTTATTAGCTTATTGATGGAATAAAAAAAAAATCTAGCCCTAACCCATTCTATCAGCATCTTTGACTACCCAGATTATCATCTTGTGTCTTGTGACTCAAAGAAGTCTCGTTGGTCTTGGCCTCTTGGGTGAGACATACAGCAAGCCACCCCTCAATAAAAATAACAAAAGTCCCTCAAGAATCTTAGTCATCCTTTCAGCGACGTAAAAAAGTCAATCGTACGTGATATAATAAGTCACCCTTTAGCCATAACAAGGCACCCCAAGTCCCCAAGACTAGTACTTGTGAGACTGGTCTCAAATAAGCTTTTGTGCTTTACTAAATAATGTATTACTATATAAGAGTTTCGCGTCCCCCAAAAATAAACTATATAAGAGTTTGATGAGGCCAAATTGACCTTCTGAAAGAATTTCTATCTTAGTTTTAACACATATAGTCTATAATTGGTTCCTGTAAAATATTTGACTTATTCTATACAAATATAGTCCTGGATAAGCATGATAAGGAAATCTAACATAAAGTAATTGTAGATGTTGTGAATGATAAGGATTGGATGGTTGACGTAGTTATAATAAATGGGATTGAATGAAAATATGCGACACGTTGAAGATGATTCCTTTGTCAATTGTCTAATCTGCTGCTGTACTATTACACAACATCATCCTACTGATGACACTGATTAGATTTAACGGTAACACAGACTGAAGTATCACGCTCTCAAATATCATGATCCCAATTCATCCCCTTCTTCTCACAAACAAAACAGAAAAAGAGAGAATTTCACCACTTTTGCTCTAAAATCCCTGATATTTCTTGTTGTCAATTATCTTGTGATGTTAGGTTCAATTATAATTTGCCATATATCAATTTCAAATAATGCTATTTTTCTATGTGTCTAGTTTTGTTAGGGATAATATGTCATACGTTGACGATTTTAGTAACGATTTTAATCATATTATCTTATTATTTCTATTATCAGTAATTTTAAACACCTAAAATTAAAGCATACTGAGACTAGAAATCGATATCTTACAATCAAAAACCTTTCCTTTGTCATGGTCCCCACACTAATTTGATTTTTAGGGGAAGAAACAAAACCATTAATTGGCTTTGTCTCAAATAATTAGATACCAGAATTTCCTTGTTTACCATTACATATTGGTATTAAATCTGATTGCTGTTTCATGAACCCCAACACACACCTTATCGTACTACTAATTTATTAACACGCTGTAGCTAAAATATTTCCAGGATCATTCACTTATGAATCTGATTATCAATTTAAGATGAATGACTTTTCATAACTAACGTGATGCCAATTTGTTTAAGGGAGAGATTTCATTCAATTATTGATGATCAGCTATGTTTAATGTATGTCAAGTTGTTCCAGCTTCATCTTGTAATTAGTTAATGAGCTTAATATTTATTTTTTCTTCTTTTTCAATTATTTTACAACACTATGATCAGTTTAATATTAGAGATTAGTTGAATCTGTACACATCCGGTGCCCCCTGGCAGGCACGTGCATGACATGCGCGATATGCACCAATGGGAACATCGTTTAGGTACTCCTGAGTCCATGTAGTAGTTTTCCCTCTCCTTTGACTTTGCTTGTGGTGGATGTTCATTAGGGTGGTGGTTGTGACGATGATTGTGGCTTTCTGTTTTTTTGTTTATAGGTAATCTATCTCATACTAGAGTTAGAGATGTGGCCAAAAGTTGACATGAATAGAATATACAGATCAGATAAGATAAACTGTAAAGCTACCAGCAGTACATTTTTTTTCAAACATATTTGAGAGGAGCTTAGGCCAATTGATTGAAGACAATATGTGGCTTCTCCGACTAATGAAATGACTTCGTCTGCACAAACAGCAACAGTTAGAAGATAAGCTATGTGGGGCCCTCTTACTCTACATAATGGACTATGATTAGACATTATATTAATGATTCCTTCATCATAATGCGTTCTTAATATAAGATTACACCTTATATTAAATTAGTTTAAGAATTGCATTTGCCTCAACTTAGAACTTCTGATGTTCCTTGTTTTCTAATATAAAAGACCCCACTTCTGAGTAACATTCTTATACTTCCATTTCTGCTGCTTCTGCCTCTACTGTTTCATCTTGCTGTTGTGCTTCTCTTTTCTGATCTAAGTAAAGAATCAATGGCAGCCATAAATGGCTCCTTTTCACCCCATTTCGCAATTCACCAATCTGCTTCTTCTCTCAAACAGCCTGCTTTTGGAATGGTAAGGCTTAGGAAATCTCTGCTTCCTGTCAAGAAAGCAACAAAACTTCAGATCAGATCCTCCATAAAAGACCAGGTTCGATTTCTTTCTCCTTTCTCCTTTCTCTTCTTTCTCATTTTATCCTTCCACTCCTTGATCCATGGTTTATAGCATATAATGATTTGATACATTATTTGACTGGGACTACAGGTTTTTGAAGATCATTCAACAGGTATAATTTGCTATAAAGATGACAGAGGGGAAATTATATGCGAAGGTTTCGATGAGGGTCCTCGTCTACATTTGCAGTATCCTCCAACACTTGTACCATTAAGGTAAGTTCATCTTTCTTAGAAATCCATGAAAATTTCGTATTTGCGTTGTTATCTGATCTGACAGATGAAATTATACAGGGATGATGACGGTATCCTAGATCGTCTTCAGCAGAGATGGCTTCAGATTATGGATGGAGAAACTGCAAACTCTAGCGACCTGCTTAAAAAGTCTTGCAATGGATTCAATACGCTGCATTGAAAAAATGCAAAACAACACTAAATGATCACTTTGTATAAATGTTTTCTTAATTAAGACCTGTTAGTTTTCTCTCTTTTATAAAAATAGACCTTATCTTAAGTTGAAAGGACTTGGTCATGTAATTCCTACTTTTACAGGATGTAAATGAAGACTCCCACACCATGTAATTCGATATATATGATCGATAAAATGGATCATTGTTTTAATAACATTTTCAGATCAGAAATCATTCAGACATCCAGATCTAATCTTCAACAGGGTCTGTACTAAATACATTTGTATTTTACACCCGAAGATGGAATATCATCACTTCTGTATGTCTTTGTTTTCTAATTTAGGAATAGTATATGGTAAAATAACTAAACAGAACTTTCCTAAGGGTATGGTCAAACCAAGGATCTGAAGAAGATTAAGTATCTTTGACAGTTGATACCGTATTATTCCTAAAATATACTGATGAAGTGATGAATCAGTCCTCTTTGCCATTTCAGAGCTTTATAACAAGCTGTAGTTCCTGCATGTGTATACTTGAGCCAAGTATACAAGCTTCCCCAATTGCTACCTATCCAACTCTACCTTAGAAAGTTCTGATCAATCGCATTTACATGATCCGTTCATTTGGTAATCTGGATCCTATCTTCAATATCATGTATGGAGGTCAACCCAACAACATTGTTCGACTTTACCTCCTGTGAGGTTGAGGTTCCGCTACTAACTTCCAGAGCCATTTCAGGATTAATTAAGTGCAAGTTTCTTTTTCTAGTAAAGTTTATATTCCGACATAGCATGTACAAGTATTAAGAAGTGCAAGAATGGCAAGACTGTCACCCCTCCCATTTTCCACCTGAATGACAGCAAGATCAAGAATTTTGTATTAAGGTCCTGTGACCTCCTTTCAAAAGGTTGATGTTGCGAATTTCGAAGTTAGCCCATCTTTCATTGAAAAAGAAGGGGCAGGTGTTTTTGTGAAAGTAGTCAGACAATTTTACGGCGTAGTTCAATTATTTGGGTTTCTGCATTTAGTTAATTCTATCTGTATCTACTAACTCCCTTCCAAAAGGGATTGGAAAAGAAATCATAAATGGAACAAAAAGATGGAATATAAGCATCTTCACAATCACTTTTAGACCGATTTGTAGGCTGTGTGGGCCACAATGTGCAACCAATAAAAGTGCGCTTACACTCAGACTTACATTCAAAAATTGATCTTAGGAAACTCTTCTATACACTACCAAAAAAATGTAGCAGTTCAATTACAGCTTGTAATGCTAAGGCACCCGAAAAAAGGGGGCGAAAAAATAACCATATACAGCATTCAAGACATGGGATTAGCTAACAAATATATACCCCCACATGAGACATTCAAAACCTTCAGTTTGCCTGCCTCTTTCATGCATCTTTTTTCATTAATGATATAATCTCTTGTTTTCTAAGATCCATGATGACTAATCAAATTTCACTACCCAAAAAATGAGACACCGGAAAAATTGGTGGATCATGTAAATCAAAAGGTATGGAAGACATTTAGCCTCAAAGTTACCAGTTTAGACCTAGAACATTCCAATTCACAGGACTTCAATATACTCATGACCCACCTTGAGCATTTTCGTCACAAAGGTTGCTTTGCGACTGGCTTGATATAATAGTTGGCGGGGACCAAGTATCAGGAACCATGAGAAAATATGTAGTCATGGCTTTACGGAACCTTTTCTTATACTGCTTGGGCGAAATTACTGTTGGAGATACATTCTTGGGACCGCCGAGGATGCCAGAAGCCTTCACCCATGTTTCCAAATGTTTATCCCAGGTATATTGTCTCATGAAATCAATTATCCCAAGAACTAGTTCATGCTTCCCTTTGTCAACTCCAACCAGCAAGGAATAATCCATTACGTCAACAGACTGCATCAGCAGCAACAAAATAGTGAATAACATATAAATGCAGGATTTCAATGACTAACAAAAGTAATAGCCTTCATTTGATTCGCATACCAAGTCCGAAGGAAGTAACAATGACAAAGATTACCATCCCACACTAGTACAAACTAATTAATCATTGGGCAAGTCAACAAGGAACCGTTCACTAGCACACTCTTCCACCTCCACCGCCCGCCCCCCCCCCCCCCCCCCCACAAAAAAAATAAAAATAAAAAATTTCCACGGTTTATATAGGAACTCAGTTACATATGGAGCTTCACGTGTCATAAAAAATTCTTTCTTTTTCATCAATACAAATAAGACTTAAACCTAGTTTGTAATTATGCTATTGTGAGTTTGCGACTTGACAAGTGCCAGAGAATTCAAGTTTCAAACTCTGTGTTGCATGACTCTGAATTGTTTATACCCAAATAGAGGATCAAGTGCCCAATCACATTAATGGATCAAGGTGCAAAATGAGGAATCCAAGTAAGACAGATGGAAAGGTATAAATGTAGTGCAGGAAATTTTTTTTTTAAGAAAAACAGGACAGATTCGCAGAGAATTTTAAGGTATAATAATAACAAATTATTCACTGTATTATTTTGGCACACATCTTATTTCCTAGCCTTCTCTGCACTTAAAACCTCCTTCTTAGCATTAACTCATAAGTAATATTAGTTCTATCTGAAAAATATGAATGCACTTAAAGATCAGAACTTTGAATGTAAAGCCATCAACTAACTTTGCATCTAAAATTTCAAGTGTTATGCCTGTAAGAACCTTATGTTAAAGAAGGAAATCTGGTTAACTTACAGCAAGAAAAGAAGTGTCATTCCACACTGCCCTCTCCAATAAGCGCTTTGCCTTGTTGCCAACAAAAATTGGGGAGGTAGGCATTGCTTCAATAAGATTTTGATCTAAAAGGACCTTGTTACTCCCACTGGAATCTGGATTGTATCGTGATCTTGAGGAGCCTTTCAGGTCATAAAGCTTTGTGACATTTCTTCTATACAAAAGATTCTCCATGACCAAAACATCCATCTTTGATTCCTTACCTCCTTTAAGATTCTTTGTGGTAACCTGCAATAGATGGCCAACAGATGAATAAGTAACAACAATATACAATGTAGCTTTACAGCTTAAACCATGCATATGCACAGCAATAAATATACAAGAACAATTGTGGGCCTCCTCTATGTATTAAAGGAAAAAATTGAATCATACAGAAATGAACAATACTAAGCTCACTACAGCTTAGAAAAGATAATCCAGTTACACTTAGAACAAAATACTAAGCAACCAAAGCAGAGGCTAATCATTAATCTATTTCATCTAACAAGGACAAGATCTTATGAATTATCAACATTCATTAAAAATCTGCAGAGAGAAAGAAATCAGAGCAGATGTTGGAGACTATTAAATACATTATTCCCAACTACTATAAGGTCTGCTCAAACATATATAATGTAATCAGCAAACTTAAAGCATCAAAAAATACCTGATAGATGCCCAAAATTTTAGCTAGGCATGTTGGGCTCTTTGTGTCTATGGCTTCCATAAGATACTTAAAGTACTCAGGAGCAAATGTGATAAATGATTCAAGCTCTGTCTTCGTAACCTGTTTGATGATAAACCTGTCATCCAAAGTTTTAGCGAAAAAGACATTGCTTTTACCACCCTGGGCCCCCCATTTTTTACAGCGACTTAGTGATCTAACATAATCAAGCTCAGATGGACAGCAAATTTTCCTCAAGGCATCAAAGTGCTTTGCATAGTAACAAGTAACAGTATATTTCACTTTATCAACAGGGCCATCAACAGTAAAAGCAACTCTTATGTGCAATGACTTTGTGTACAAAAGCGGGTCTGACATGAAGGAGTTGCGTGCACCCGATGTAGATAAGATGCTATCATCTATTGAAAGACTTCTATTTGATTCGTTCAAAGAGTCATTAGGTGAAACAGATTGATGAAAGCTGGCTGATTCTGCCGCTGGCATTGAAGATGCAGACTCAATATCTTTCGGTTTTTCCCCATCATCAGATAATTGAGTGTGATAATCCTTTGAGATTAATGCATAAGAAATTATGCTGGTTGGCTCATCATCATAAATTGGAATAACAGGGTCATTTGAACCTTCAGGCAGAAGCCACTTAGCCCCACCTTGCAGCCCCAACTCCCGAGCTGATGATATGTACATGGAATTACTTAACTTTTGAGTATTTCCAAGAAAGTTCTTATTTACAGATCGATAAATATTGAGAAAAGGCATTCCCAACCAGCTTATGGTGTCTTCCCCACTAACTGAGCCTTTCGAGTTCGTAGATGCCACTGATGAAGAAGATGATGTTGCCTTGGCAACACCCTTCTCTTCAACTCGACTCTCCAGCGCCAACCTCTCCACCACAACAGCCAAAGAAGAATCCACCGAAGTCGACCCCATCAATGACAAGCTGTTTTCTTTAATCCCAACCCCTGGATGAGTTTTACCTGTCCAAGCAGCATCAAGCCGGTTAAGGGTATCTATAAACTGACTGTCAGATGCTGCCCTTCGAACAGTTGATCCACAATCCAAAGGATCAAGCGGTTCAAAATTTCCAGTGCTAGCAGAGAGGACATCTTGTTCTACAAAGTCGCGAGTACAATCTGGACTAGCTTTAGAGTGAAAAGCAGTCTCCAGTGGTTTCACAATATTCACAGTTCCATCTTCCAGATTGGAACTCCTAATAACTTTTTGGTCTGCAGGAAGGGCTTCACCACTGGCAGCATTAACAAGGCGCTGATCCCATATATAAGACCGGAAGAGCAGCTGCATCCTTAATCTATTAATTTCCAGAATATCATGAGAAGGATGACCCTTTTTCACCTCCCTGTTAGACAATCTCTGATGCATTTCCTGCAAAAAATAAAATAATCATCTGACTAATTATTATTATTATTACTATTATTATATATTCCACCACAGAAACATAAACGCATTGGAGTTTAGCTATTATCAAAACACATCCTTGGATACTAATGTGGTACAATTAACCACAATACAATGGTACCAATAGAGCAAAACACAAGCACGCACTACGCAGAAGATATCTCATCTACTCACTGTATGAATGCAAGATTATAAACTCAAAGAGTGTTGACAAATAGACGACAAGGGTTCCTTAAATTAAGTTTCTATTATTCCCTTTGTCACTCTTTAATTGTCAATCACAGGAGAGGTTTATAACAGAAAAGAGCCTGACATACGATTTTGGTGACATTTCAGAGGAATCTGCAAATAATTCCACAAAAAGAGCAAATGCAAATAATGCTGGATATA